ACACCCCTGTCAGCTGTCCAGCATTGACTCAAAGTGAAATGGGGGGCAAAAAATCCAATAAATAAAATAAAGTTTGTGTTAACACAAAACATGAATTCTTCCTATATTGCTTTATCTATATTTCTGACATCTCATTATAATTCATTAATTTTGACATCTCAGTTCATGAAATCATAGCAAATTGATTATTAAGTATAAGACGCTTTCTAAGTAAAAAATCAGCAGAAGTTAGTAATAGTTTGATTTCTTTCATTAGCTAAAATAAATGGTCATTTAGACACCTGTAGTTTAGTTAGTTTAGTTAGTCATAAAGAAGAAGCAGTGGTCATTTAATGCATTATTATTCTTTTTTTTATCATTGGGGAGAGAAAGCAGTAGTAGGAATGACAGCTTAATTTAACTGGGTGAATGTTCATTTGTCAATCTTATATTTCTACAGATGACTAAGTGTTTGGGCAAATCCTGGGATTGATGTTATTCTTTGTAAAGCCTAATACAATAAAAAGATGGCCATCCAGTGGTAGGATTCAAATAATTTAACAACTGGTTCTTTGGCCAGCTAGAGATTAGGGATTAGCCAGTTCTCTGAACTGGGTAAAAAGTTAACAACCAGTTCCCCTGAACTGGTGCAAACCAGCTGAATCCCACCTCTGCTAATTACTCATTTTGTATGATTAAAACTTCCCAAATGCTTTCGAAAACAACAAAACAGCAAGATGATCAACAATAAAAATATCAAAATGTATGCAATAGGGAAAATGTCACAATTTTAATTTAAAATTATAGGGAATTATAAGGAGTTTCCTAAGTAATATTTTTTAAAAAAGTCAAACCACATTAACAATTAGAAAACAGAGGTTTTGTATTCAGTTATTTATGTATTTTAGAAGTCACCCAACTCCAGAATGATTCTGAGTCATTTACATTTAAAATAGGACAAAATAATAACTCAAAGTCTGGAAGGATAGACAGGTGTTTAAAAACTTGTGGAACATCATCGTGGTGGGAGCTAATAGATATCCGAAGGAATCTTAATCCAGAGAAGACAGGCCTCCTGGGTCCTGATAATTGGCATTGCTTGATTGAGAGGACTCAAATTGCACCAACTCTGTCTAATCTTATTGGATGGACAAAGATATTCTATAATCCTATGAAATCCTTCCTGGCACAAAAGAAGGGACTTCATAGGACATTATCAATGCCTTGAATTATCCCTGGAACTTCAATGGAAACCAGGGCAGCCTGTGGAACAATGGAATCATATGGGCATACAAAGGCAGGCCCAGCACTGCTAATGCCATTGCATTCTGATCCAGTTGCAGCTTCTAAGTAGTCTTCAGTGGCACTCTATGCACAACACATTGCAATTTTCTGACTGTGAAAGGACTAGGGCATAATTGATCATCTGGAAAACTCCTGATCCAGGAAAGGCTGCAACCGTTGGACAGATGAAACTGTACCAAAGCCGTAGCTGTGAATCCAAAATGACCCCTTGATTGAGCACCAAAGGAAGATATTATACAATTGAAATATAACTGTGGAAAAGGTCATGTTAAAGAAACATGACAATGTATGTATTGAGTTGTCCAACTTAAATATTAGTTCAATACATAAAAGTTCATCAACTCCCATGTCATTTGAATACTTTTTATTAAAATGGTCCCATAAATTAAATAAAAAAAAAACATAGTGATTGAGATAAGTAAACCTTTATTGGAGCATTTGACCAATATGTGCAACACGAAACACACACACACACACACACACACACGTAATATACATAAATCTATTTAAAATTAGAAAACAAAACAAATGAAGAGTAAGTATGAAGACCAAAGGAAAGTAATAACAATGTCCTCCTTGAATGAATGATTGTCTACTTTTTTCAAATGAAAAATTTAATAGGAACTGTGGAAAAACAAATACTTATGTAACGATTAGATAAAAATATATTTACTGTCTTAAAACCAGATAGATTAATAAGCCTAAACTAGGGTCCTTTGCTGTAGGCTAACAGACCAAAGGACTACAATATGTTTAGTAACTATGTAGTCTAACAATACTTGAATTCCTTAGTAAACAGGAATTGAGCCTCAGGATTGTGGCTTTTGAAATTAGGGTGTGTTTAGACTTGGAGGCTGCCCAAACTTCTTTCACATCTCGAAGGAAAAGCACCATGCCAAACATATGTAATCAGCAAAAAAAAAAAAAAAGTGATTACATTTTGAAGAAAGATCATAAAACAAATGCTCCCATATGTTGCAGAGATCAAATAGAATATCTGAGAACTTGCACTGCAATATTTTAACTATATAGTAAAAAGAATGTTCTGATCTGACAATTAATGCAGTGTATGAAAAATAACAGAAAAGGTCATGTAAGTTAATAAAAAAATTTAGAATAAGGAACAACTTATTCTAAAATATGGATATGGGTAAGGGAAAGCGAATTAACTCAAGTTTTGCTTAAAATCTAATCAATTCAGATAAGTAATTTATCATCTCCTGAATCATAAATTGTGGGTCAAAGACAAAGGAAAACAGGAACCAATTATCTCTCATCATCCTAACACTCTTTATTTATTTATTGTTTTATTTATTGGTTCTATTTATATGCTGCCCTTCTCTGGAGACTCAGGGCGGCTTACAATGCGTTAAGCAATAGCCTTCATACTTTTGTATATACCTGCTTAGTAGGGCTTTTGGCCCCCTCTAAGCGGTGTTCTTTTTTATACGAAGTCAGCTTATTGCCCCCACAATCCGGGTCCTCATTTTACCTACCTCGAAAGGATGGAAGGCTGAGTCAATCTTGAGCCTGGTGAGATTTGAACTTGTAGTAATTGCAGGCAGCTGGTGCTACTTAATAGCACTTTAGTCTGCTGCGCCACCAAGGCTCCTCTTAATGGGGAAATTAATGAAATGATTATCTAAACCAGTATATTTATAGCATATATGGCACATCAGAGTTGTTACTGGGTTTATTTTTTCAATAGATGAGTTAATTAGGTAGGTATTTGAGTCACTTGGAGTTGCTTTAAATAGAAATGGAGGATAAAATATTTAGCAGAAATTAAATGAATTGTATATAATCCAAAGTTTTCATCATTACAGCTCATCTGGATAAGAGGAAATACTCTGAAAATAAAAGTAGATGCTACCTAGGACTGCATTAGCTTTTTTAGCAGCTGCTGCACACTTTTGGCTCATACTTAAGTAGTGGTTTGCTAGGACGCTAACTCCCTTAGATGCTACTGTTGAACCAGGTACCACCTATTTTATACTTGCGTATTTGATTTTTCTTGTTTATATGTAGGCACTTGCTTTTCTCATCACTCAATTGTATTTTGTTGAATGGGGCTCACTGTTCAAACTTATCAAGATCCTTCTGAATCTTGAGTCTATCTTCTAAATGTTAGCTATTCCCCATAGCATGGTATCATCTGCAAATCTGATGAGTTCCCTTTCTGCCCAGTGTCATCTATATCATTTATTAAGATGTTGAAGAACATCTTCATAAATTATATAGGGCACAGAACCTTGAGCTACCCCACTGCATGTCTTACTCTGTTAGAAGTAGTTTCATTGAGGACTACATGCTAAGTGCTATTGGTCAGCCAATTGCGAATCCATCTGGTGGTACATTGTTTATCAAGAAGTAGGCCGTGGTCTGTTTTGTTAAATGCCTTGCTGAAGTCCAAGTATACTATGTCCACAGCATTTCCCACATCCACTAATTAAAAAATTAATTAGAATAGGATAGAATAGTATGACCTGGAAGGGACCTTGGAGGTCTTCTAGTCCAGCTCCCTGCTCAAGCAGGAGAACCTATACCATTTCAGATAAGTGACTATCTAGACCAGGGGTGTCAAACTCAATTTCACTGAGGGCCACATCAGGATTGTGTTTGACCTCGGGAGGCCAGGGTGGGCATGGTCAGCTCAACATCACTCCTGTCAGGGGCACGGTACTTCTGCCAGTGAAAATGGAGCTTGGGAGGGCCACATGTGGCAGAGGGTTGCAGGAGGCCGTGGCAGACGAAAACGGAGCTCGGGAGCCCATTTTCGCTGGCAGAAGTACCGCGGGCCGGTCCTTTGCTGTTTCAAGGGCAGCCCCAAGGGCCAGATCTAAGTACCCCATGGGCCAGGTGCGGCCACCAGGACTTGAGTTTAACACCCCGGTCTAGACTCTTCTTAAAAACGTCCAGTAATGGAGCACCCACAATTTCTGTAGGATTAGCAAAGGTGTCTGACCTCCCTAAAAAAACTTGTTACAGTGAATTTTTAAATAGTAGAAGAAATTAAAATGTAACATAGCTATTCTGCAATGAATCAGTAACTGGCTTTAAAAACTCATTAACAAATAAGCATAAATTGAAATTGTATGCTTTGTATGAATATGTTTGTATAAATATATTTTATCATGTTGTTTTTTCAATATATGATATCAGATGTGATAATGAGGCATCACATAGATTCTAGAAAGACATCCAAAAGTCCATAAGATGGTGTGGATCTCTTTGAGAGGACTTGAAACAAGGTCTGGACTGGATCTACACAATATAATCCTGTATACTCTTCTGACATACACTCAGAATGGGAAAGAGTGCACTAGATATTAAATTGGCACATAGCTCAATGGGAACAACAAATTTAACAGAGAAATATAAAGTCAGGGAAGAAAAATACAGTTTCTTTTATCTTTCTTCCTTTTGGCACAAGCCTAACAAATCTTGCCTTCTGGTAATTAATCCATCATGGTTTCTCCATCTCTGTATGACTGCTCTGTTAGTAAATCTAACCCTAATTTATAATACTGAATCCAGGCCTGTCCAATTTAACAATTGGTAACATTCCTTCAATTTTTGCATGGTATTTACATTTAATTGTCACTGTGATATTGTTCTACCATAGCAATACAATCAGTCATAATTGTGATACTGCCATTTTTGGCAAACATTGTAAATTATAATTAGTGCATGTACATTTTTGCTTTGTTACTCACATTCTCATAAAGGGCTTGAAGAGTCTCTAAGTCCACCACAGAGTTGTCCAAATTCATGACAGCTATGAAAAAGGCAGAGAAAAGTTTAAAAAAGGATTTACATTTCAAGAAAAGACTAAGCACAATACAGACCCTTTTTTAAAAAATGATCTACTGGCCATACAGTTTAATGGATTACACTTTATTAATGCCTTAAGAAAATGTTCCATCTTACAGTAGATAAGAAAACTAGTGGAACCTGGCATCACATTTTAATGCAGTTAAGTCATCTACCGCCCACAATCATGTCTGGAGTGAGCTTATTGTTACCCATTGTATTGTTACAGAAAAAGTCAAATGGTAACAATAAGCTTTACGCCAGAGTTTGATGGTCTGACTTTAAAAAGTACACATTATAGTCAAACAGCAAAGGAAATATGTCTTTAGCTGAGTTTCAGCCTTTAACTGTATAATCCATGGATCAACCCAATTTATATGTAACAGATATAAGTTTGCTTAAAGCAACCTATGTAGTTAGTCATTACACAAACAGTTCCATAAGTATGACTTCAAAAGTCATACTTCATTTAGAATTAAACAGGAAGGGCAAGTAACATATTTAATAACAGCAAAGATATAAGGATTTAGGCTGGTAAGACAGAATTCATTAAAGAATGGTTTCAAAAGTTTATCTTAGTGCTACTTAAAAAGAAATCAAGAAAGCAAAATTAGTTTTTATTATTTAAAAATCTCTAGCAAAGAAAGGAGATCAAATTTCTATGACTTCTGACAGGCAGGAAACATTCAGACAGAGAAGCACATATACCAGTCTTTTAAACATGCAGCTGGTTGCATCATACCAGGATAGATTATCTAGTGGGGCAACTGCAAAAATATTGATTTATCTTTATTAAGGAAAACCATTCTTTAGATATTGAAATGGGCCTCTGTTAAATTCACATACCATGTTTGTTTATAATTTACCAGGTCCAGAACTGTATTTCAACAGAATGATCCACATGGCAGGCTTTCTACATACCCTATAGAATTTCTGGTGAAGTCATTAATAAAGTTCTTTATTTATTTGAAATAGGTTTCTGTCACCTTTTACATCTTATCAGAATGTCAGGACTGGGGTAGAATTTACACATGCAAAATAACTACTAAAGCAAATTTTTCATTATCATTTAAGCCATTGTCTATCCACTGCATGGGACATGGTGGCTCAGTAGGTAAGACGCTGAGCTTGTCGATCAGAAGATCAGCAGTTCAGTGGTTCGAATCCCTAGTGCCGTGTAATGGGGTGAGCTCCTGTTACTTGTCCCAGCTTCTGCCAACCTAGCAGTTCGAAAGCATGTAAAAAATGCAAGTAGAAAAATAGGGACCACTTTGGTGGGAAGGTAACAGCGCTCCGTACGTCTTCGGCGTTGAGTCATGCCGGTCACATGACCATGGAGATGTCTTCAGATAGCGCTGACTCTTCGGCTTAGAAGAGCATCGCCCCTAGACTAGCACGCATGCGCGGGGGAACCTTTACCTTTACCTTTTATCCACTGTAGGATGAAGGCCTCTTCTGCATGTTTCCAACCAATATGGTCCTGAACTTAAGTTTAAAGAACTTAATTAAAACTGACGCAATCTAGAAATTCCCAAGTGAACAAAACAGCCTGAACAGGGACAAGGTAGTGGGTTATAGTCTTTTTTTTTTTAGGTTTATTAGTTTATAATATAGCATACAAAGAAGATACAAAAGTAAATGGTAGGGAAAATAGGGAAGGTAAAAGGGAAAGAGAAAGTGAGGGAAAGAAAAGGGGGAAAATAAAAAAAACGGCATTGACTTCCTATTTCTTTTGCTACAGTAGAATAGGGCATTAACATCAAACCTCAGCTTTTTACTTTTACATAATTATATTAACTAGCCATTTCTATAACAACAAATGTAAAACCTAAAATCAAAGTTTCATTTTTTTTCCACCTCAAGCACAAAGTCCAGAAGCGGTTTCCAAGTAGAAATAAAAGTATTTATACTTTTTCCTTGATCAAAACAGTCAATTTAGCCACCTCTGCTAACATCAATTATTGCAGCAATTATATATCAATTTTTGCAGCCATTCATCCATTGTGGGGATCAAGGTGACCTTCCATTTCTGTGCATAAAGTCTTGCTACCATCAACATATATAACATCAAAGTTCTGATTTTTTTCCCCCAGGTCTTTTTTCCATTAAACCCAAAAGAGAAGTCTCTGGTTTTCTTTTTATATTCACTGTAAGAATTTTCTATATTAAAATATGAATCCTACTCCAATATTTCTTTGCTTTATCACACATCCACCATAAACAGTAAAAAGTCCCTTGTTTACATTTACATTTCCAACATTCATTTGAAGTGCATGTGGGTTATATTCTTGAATTTTAATTTACCCTAAGTATTCTGTCCTTCTGAGCTACAGTGGCGCAGAAGTAGCCCGCAGCAGGGCTGCCTGCCGGCTGCCAGCAATTTAGCAGTTCAAATCTCACCAGACTCAAGGTTGAGTCAGCCTTCCATCCTTCCGAGGTGGATAAAATGAGGACCCAGATTGTTGGGGGCAATATACTGACTCTGTAAATGGCTTAGAGAGAGTTGTAAAGCACTGTAAAGCGGTATATAAGTCTAAGTGCTATTGCCTGTAGGAGAAATATCAGATCAAATCAAATCTGTATTATTGTCATAGGCCAGTGGTTCTTATCCTTGTCTTCACTATAGAACTCCTTTACATACTTTTTGTGGTCCTAGACCATGGCCATGGTTAAATTTTAACTCAAGATTTAAATCATAACATTTCTTCAAGCCTTTGCAGATCCCCTGTGATGATATTGCATCCCCTCAGCAGTCCGTGAAGCACAGCCGTCATAGACCATTATAAGGATGGTAGGGAAAATTATGAATTTTTTGACTCTGAAAACCATCCATACATAACATGTCTCTTCTGACTTCAGTTAAGTGCCATACACCCAGCCCAAAAAAGGGCTGAGAAAATCAGTCATCTGATTACAATGCAATTGCTTTCATGTTTCTTCTTTCTTCTATTTAGCATTTTCTTCTGCTTTCTATTTAATCTATATACCTCTAAGGCAAATCTTGACCTGGAGCAAAACGTAGCTAGAATTTCCTTTGACAATTCCTGACAAAAACTTAACAACAGATTACATTGCCCTCTATAAATCAGTACCTTTCACTGTTGCTAAATGATTTTGTGTATACACCTCAAGATTAGAGACAATATAATTCATGCTCATTTGTTTTTCATTGCTGTAAAGCATTTAGTGATAAAATCCAGTGTCTGGGACTCATCACATTTTCTCCCTACAGGTCTGAAATATAACTTTAGTTACAGTATAATAAAAGAATATATAAATAAGGAAATGTTGATCTTGATTGCATGAAGCAGAGTCCAGAGTGTTCTTAGAGATTGGAGGGAAGGATTTAAAAAGATAAAAATAACATTCCTTCTTTTCAGGATATTCTTTTTTCCAGAGTCTTCTGCAAAAACCATTTTCTTTTTTCCAAATGTTTTATCATGTTTTACTTCTTTCCTTTTCTCATTTACCTATTTTCAGAAAACATTTTTGTTTACCAATAAATTATCTTTTTATACATCTGTAGGAAATATTTTAATAGTTAGTTCCCTATGACATAGATTTTAACTGTTTTTCTTCTTGAAAATAGTAAAAGTTAACTTTTCTTTTTTAAAAAGAAACTTTCCAAAATCAAACATCTAGTCCTTAAACTAAATAAACTGCATTAAAATTTCAACAAATCAGATTGCTTCATTTGAATAGCAACATAGATCAATATCATAATGCACCACAATAGAATTCCATGTAGGTTATTTTGGAGATAAACCAAAGCAAATCATCTACCTAGAATAAATACAGTTTTAATTAAGTGAGGTCCCCCCTTTATCAAATATAACAAGCAAAGTCTAAGAGATGGCAAGAAAGATTTTATAAAGAACATGGGAAGACAGCCAGGAAGAGAAAAATATACCGTGTTATACAGATACATTGTCATTTCCTATTTTCAATAAGGAGAAATTGTCTATGGTTAACTATACACTTCATAATGAACAAAAGCTTGCAAGGTATTTTATGATGGAATAGATTGAATCTATCTTGTACATATAATATTATCCACAATGATTTAAAGGAGTACGAGATTTCAGGAATATTGCAAAGGGCAGCGGTAATCAGTTTAAAAGGAATTAAATACTTTACAGAACTGAAACATTTATTCATTTTTCTGATTTTTATCTTGCCCTTTATAAGCAACTTAAGGCAGTCAGCATACATATTTTTTCCTCCTATTTTTCCCACAATGCAGTGGGTGGGGTGATCTGGACAAAGAGAGAGTAACTAACCCAAACAGCTTTTATGACTAAAAATAAATATGAGCCAAGAGTGTGTAGCAAAAATAAATAAATATGAGCCAACAATGTGTGTCAGCAGCCAAAAAAGGCAATGCAGTCCTAGCCTGCATTAATAGAGGGATAGAATCAAGATCACGTGTGGTCCTAGTATAGTTTTACAAAGCCTTAGTAAGACCACACTTGGAATACTGTATCCAGTTCTGGTCACCACGATATAAAAAAAAAAAGATGTTGAGACTCTGGAAAGAGTGTAGAGAACAGCAACAAGAATGATTAGGGGAATGATTAGGGATCTATGGAAGCTTAAATATATGAAGAACAGTTACAGGAATTGGATATGTCTAGTCTAATGAAAAGGATTGATTAGGGGAGTCATGAGAGCAGTATTCCAATATTTGAGGGACTCCTATAAAAATGAGGGGTTCAGACTATTTTCCTAAGCACCAAAAGGCAAGACACGAAACAATGGATGGAAACTAAACAAGGAAAGAAGCAACCTAGAACTAAAGAGGAGAAATTTCCTAACAGTGGGAGCAACCAACCAATGGATCAGCTTGCTTTCAGTTGTGGGTATTCCATTACTGTAGACTTTCAAAAAGAGACTGGATAGCCATTTATCTGAAATGGTATAGGCTCTTCTACTTGAGCAGGGAGTTGGACTAGAAGACCTTCCAAC